CGGAAGGAAGATGGGGCAATCTACTTCCGTAGTGATACTGCCTCGGAAACCCAAGGAGGGGTCGCTATGAGTCAGGTCCAACTCCACAGCACATAGCAACAACAACAACAAACAACAGAGTGGTTAAACAGGCAGAGTGACATACAAGTCTAGAGGTTTGGGGGAGGATTGGCTGCAGATGTATCCTTGTTATTATATTTTCTTCTCCTTTGATTTTCTTTTCTCACGGGGACAACATACACATATCAATTATAAGGAAAATATCTGTTTAACAACCTCTTCCATTTAAAACAAAACAAAACAAAAACAAAAACCCTCTTTCAATGTAAAAAGCACACAGCTGAAGTATGGATGGGGCTATGTGGAGGAAACTGCCTAACAGTGGCCTGATATAATTAGCATCACCTGAAAATTCACAGCATGAGGGATACTACATTCTATCCTCAGACATTCGTGGAATAAGCATGGTTTATGAAGTTATTATGCCAGAAGTGCAGAGAATATTCAATGAAGAAATGAAGTTAAACTAAAATATTAATAAAGTTCCTTTCTATTTTCAGAGCAAATAGACACTAGTTACCAAAAAAAAAAAAAAGAAAGAAAAAACAAACTCACTGCCATGGCGTCGGATCTGACTCACAGTGACCCCCTCCTTAGGTTTCCGAGGAGGTATCAATACCTCTGCCTTGAATTAAAAGCTTAGACCACTTTCTTTATTCAGAAAACTTGCTATAATCACAAGGTAGCAAGTTAAGTAGGAAGTGCCCCCAAATATTCTCATATGTGCTAAAATTAACCAGCAGCCAGCTACAGCTGAGGATGAAATGAGAGTAGCTGTTATTTTCTTGGCAGGAGTGTCACAGGCAGCAATGCTATCTGTGGCATGCAACAGCTTTGGCACAAGATCAAGGTAATCCTTTCCTAGGGCATGTCTTTAAGATCACACTCTTTTATAATGAGTGCTTTCAAACATTACTCAAACTCCATATTTTCTGTTTTATCCTGCTAAATTCTATGAGTGAACTTCAATATTATTTTTAATTCATATGCATGTTACTATGGAAAGGAGTAAAGAGATCAGAGACTTTTGAAAAAGAAAAAATATTAAAAGGAAGATTCAAAAAGGTTGATATATCTATTGTTAGTGTCTTTTCACATTAAATAGCCAAGTTTTCATGAAACTACTTTAAGACAACAGAATAATGTAAATGGCAGATTTACTTAAGTATCCATGAATAAAATCCCACTATATGATCACAGTGAGATGGAAAAAAGTGTAACAGTCAGAAAGACAGCAAAGACTGAGAGAGATGAAGGGAAGAGAAAACTGCAAAAAGATGCTTTTTGAAAAACAGATAAACACATATAAAATGAATATTTTAAGAGTTATCATCTAAGTCCTCTAAAATTGAATTCATTGTCAAAACATACACAAGTAGATCTCATCTCTCCTTAAGGGACAATGACCTAGGGAAAAACATTTGAAAGTCACACAAGTAAAAAGAAGCTTTCATTTCCTGTCTATTAAAAACATATATATATATATAAACTTTAGTATTCCTTTCGCCTGGTACAAAATTACAAAATTATTCAATATAAAACAAACAAGGTTTGGTTTTGTTGTCAGGGAATGAAAAAGGAGAGAAAGAGGTACTGTAGAAAGAAAAAGAGGAGACAGGAGTGAATGGGAAGGTAGCTAAGGATGAGAAAAGTGAAACATGTCAAATGGATAAATAAATACAAAGAACAGGTATGCTGCCAAAAAATGCAAATTTTAGTTTGGTAAAAAGAGAATAAAATTTTCTTTCTTCTAAATTTGATTTGCTACCTCTATCTCTATTGGTGGTAGCACCCTTTCCCTAGTTATCCATTAAAATCTCGAAGTATCTAGCTCCAGCCTAGATCTAATTACCAGTTTACAGCAAACACAGGGGGTAAGCTGTCTAACTTCTCTCATCTCTTCTTGCCTTGAACTACCAGTTTATTGTATATACTCTGCTGCTTCTTACTTCTGTGCCTTTTAGCTATACTATTCTGTGTTTATAAGCCCCTTTGCCAAGAATACCATCATTTCACTCAGGAAGCCCTCTCTGTCTACTCCCTGCTCAAAGACTGACAGATACTTCTTTTCTTGGCTCCCATAATGTCCTACACAATCTCTTGCACACCACCTAACACAGCACCACAGATGTCTTCTGGGTGACTATGGCCTATTAAAAGTATTTTAATATTTAAATGACTTACTGAACACATCTCCTCTGGGTTTCTGAGGATCAGTCTGTATCCTGTTGTCAACTGTTATCCTTCTTGGAGATGTACTGGTAGCTGGTGTCATAGTTGTCAGTCTTGTGGTTGGCCTTTCTGTTGTTGGTGGTGGAGATGTTCTGAACTCTGTTGCTGGTGGTAGCGGTAGTGGTAGGGTAGGTTGTGGTGTTGGCTTTGGTACAGGTCTTGTTGTTGGCTTAGAAGTGGGCTTGCTGGTTATAACAGGAGGAGTATATGGTATCTTCAGTGGCCATCTTGTACTCCCAACATCAGGAATCCAATTACTGTGCCCTTCATCACCCTTTAGAACAGTACCATTTACCTTTGGTTCATGAATTGGACCTGAAGGTTCAATCATGACTTTTGGAATATCTGAAAGAATCAAAAGACTTAAATTAATGTATTAACTTCCAAGGAAATTAAAACATCAAACTAAAACATAAACACCCTAAAACCTCTCATGCCAACTAGGCTGCTTTTCACTTTAGAATATTCCCTTACTGTAAGCCAAGATGTTTTCCAAATAACAAAAATATGTCAGTGTGCATATGATTGATATGTGTGTGTGTGTGTATGACTGCATGTACATATATGTATGAACATACATATATGATTCATGCATATATGTTTGTGTATATACATGTGTGTATGTGTATGTATATCTATCTACCTCTCTCTCTCTCTATATATATATATATATGCACATGCATCCATATACACACCAACATAAATTTATCCATTAGATGTGTGCAAAAAATATATCGGTGTATCTGTAATGAATATCTGTTGTTGTTGTTATATGCCATCGAATCAGACCCGACTCATAGCGACCCCTCCTTGGGTTTCCGACATATCACTACAGAAGTAGATTGCCCCCTCTTCTAGTATGTGAAAAACAAAAAGTTTTAAATATTTATAAAGCAGAAAGTAGAACTCTATCAGAAAGTAGGAAAAGAAGGGGTTTATTTCAGAGATGGATATGATGATCTGAAAATAGTTTCAAAAACCTATCAACAATCAATGATACTTTTTAAAGTGCACAATGGGGCAGAGACATTCTAAGTTTTTGTTGTTATTGTTTCTGAACACAAGAAATGCATATAGAGTCTATCTTAATTATTCCTATGCTACCTATATATTATAAAACCATGTTTAGAATTGTCTGAAGACTACATTTTTCCTCATTCGTACTTGATATAAATTCAACTCATGCAAAAACATTTTGATTAAAGTTCTACATATTGTTTTACAGTTGGTCTTCCTGTCTCCTTACTAATTTAAACAATTGTTTTTTAGAAAAGAAAATTTCAGAGGTCACCAAGATCATCTGTGGAAACTTTTCTTGATAATCTTTACCAAAAAGAATCAATATTTAATCTGCCTGGAATGGTATCCTCCAGACCAAGAATGACTGCATGACCCTTCAAAGATCTTTTAATCCCCATGAGTCTATGCCTATGATTTTCAGTAAATATTTTACTCAGGAGGTTTAAAAAACTGCCTATTGCCACACGAAATGCATGCTTAATTATGCCCTTTGGTTTGCATATTTTTTCATATTTTTCTATTAACATTACCAAATATAGCTTATAAAAATTTAAAAAATAAAACAGTTTTGAAAGTAGAGAAAATAGATATGGGAATGATTTTTCTTCATAGTAGAGTTAGGAGACAAAAAATATAGAATATATTCATATCAACCCATCACCCAGAACCTAATGCCACTGTCAAAATAATATTTATTTCTGACTTCAAAAAAGTTGAATTCTTGGGAAGGGCTCCATTATTTCTTCCTAGCTAATGGAAAGCTATAGAGAGATTTTCGTCAAGGAAATCTGAATGCCTTTGAAGTTAGGATATATTACTAAATCTTCACATTTAAAAAATACCTGAGCAAGTGATTTTATTGCTTGTGGAAAGCACAGACTAATATCACTACCCATGAAGCTTATATTTGATATATAACTTGATAAATAACTTTGTTTCTTATCTGCCCTCACAATGGCCTTGGTAAATCTGTATTTCCTGCTTGAATTTAGAGCCTGGAGCAAAGTACTACTCACACACACAACTCAGTCCATCGCCTCGGTATCCATCTTTACATTTACACTTGTAGGACCCATGTACGTTGTAACATCGGGCAAAGCTGCTGCACTGATATCGACCAAGAGAGCATTCATCTATATCTGCATCAGAAAGTGGAAAAGAAGGGTTGTATTTAGGAGATGAATATGATGACTTGAAAATAGTTTCAAAAATCCAATTTTCTTTTCTTGTCTTTTTTTTTTTTCAGTGTGAATGTAAAATTGAATCCAGATCTATGAATGGCTGAACTGGATTTCTGTTTGTTTATAGCTGGTTTTCCTGTTCTGTTTGTTTGGTTTAAAGCCAATATCCTCCTCAACCACTGACATCCCAGCCATCACCACAGGCACCATAGGCAGCACTATAGGAAGAAATAACATGGAACAATGGTTGGGTTGGATTACCATGACATTGATATTTTCCTCCAATGTACATGAGGTCGAAGCCTTTATGACACTTGCAGATGTAGCTCCCGAAAGTGTTGACACACTGCCTGAATCTAGGGCAGGAGGCTCTTCTAGTAGCACATTCATCAATATCTAGAAAAATAAGTCAGTTACATCTTAGGAAGAGCAATGGCATGTTGGACTGGGGGAGGGCTGGGTTTTCAAACAAGTGACTAAACTATCTGCAAACAGTTGTCTAGCACATAGTAAGCTCATCATAAATGTCATCCAGCTGGTTGCCTTCTACCATAGAACTTAAGTTTGACATTATCAAAATTCAAGTCATCCTCAGAATCTACACTTTTCTTCTTCTCTTGCACCCTGTCTCAACACATACTGAATCTAGTTGCTTGAACTATAAACATGAGTCATCCTTGACAATGCTTTTCCTTAATTCCCAAATCACCAGGTCTAGTTAATGTTACCTCAGAAAAGTTATTTGAAGCCATCTACTCTTCGCTTCATCCACTATCATTACCCTAGTCCAGGCCACCATTTCCTATTACAAGAGCTTCCAAAGAAGTCTCTGTGCTGCCAATCTTATCCCACCAAAACATTCCCTAACGAACCATCAAAACAATCTTGTTAATGTACGAGATTGGTGAATCAATACTATGCTTAGAGGTTTCTACTTGCTTTATCTAGTAAATCTACATTCCTCAGCATGTCCTTGAAGGCCCTGAAACATGGCCCCCATCTAGTTCACCCATTGTATTTAAGCTACCGCCCCTCATATTCACACTTTGCATTTCAGCCATGTTGGCCTTCTTTGAAAATCCCAAAGCCAAGCTCTCTCACTATATCATGGCTAATTCCTCACACAGCTTATCCTCTAGGTCTTACTTCAGGACTTTTCTTGACTACTGTTTTCTAAAGTAAACTATTTCCTATTTTTCTCTCTTTTATTGCTTCATGTAATACAATTTGTAATTTTATTATATATTTGTTTCTTTTCTGTCTCCCCCATTAGAATATCAACTTCCTAAGGATCACAATTTATCTACTTTTTCTACCATTGTATATACCTGAAGGAGCTCTGGCGGTGTAGTGCCCAAGACATTTGACTGCTAACCAGAAGGTTGGCAGTTCAAACCCACCAGCTACTCTGTGGAACGAAGACTGGGCAATCTACTTCCATAAAGATTGACTGCCTTGGAAACCCAAAGGGGGTCGCTATGAATTGGAATCAACTTGATGGCAGTGAGTTTGTTTGTTTGTTTGTTTATTATTCTTTTGGAGTATATTCCTGGCCCAGAATAGTGTCTGGAATGTAGAGAGTAATAAATAAATATCTGTTGAATTACCAAATATCTCCATTTACTGAGAGCTTACTGAATGCTAGGCAGTGTGCTATGTTCTTTGCATATATGATCTCATTCAATCCTCACAATAGTTCCTCCCAAGTGGCATTACTCCCATTTTAAAGATGAGGAGACTCAAGGTCAGAGAAAGGAGGTCTCTCACCTACGACTAAAACCCATTTGTCAAGTCAATTCTGACCCATAGCAATCTAGCCCTATCTATTCAGCTTCATCAATTACCTTTCCCATTTGCCCCTAACGTTCATTCCATATATACTAAGTTCTCTGTGTTTCCCTGAACATTGGCCTCCCTAGAAGTTTGCACATGTGGTTCCATCTGCCTGAAGCTTCTTCCTGTCCATCATCCTTAGGGAAACAAGGTTTCCTTGGCCCATTAACAGTCAGAGGTACTCTTCTGAAACATCATGATCTTGTAAAAGCTAACTACCTGATGCAAATAACTCCCTTTTTTCCTTATTTCCACCACCATTCACTTCTCTTCCCTTATCTTAGAGTGGCTGCTGATGGAAATGTTGATTCACAACTTACCGACACAAGTCCTCCCATCAGGAGCCAGCTGTAGTCCAGGAGAGGGGCACTGGCATCGTATCTGTCCTTTTACAACATCACAGCCGTATTGACAGTTTGCCATGGAGCACGTCAGGGCACCTGGAAGCAGAGTGTCTGGCTGACTCAGAGGGGTAGAGAACAGATTCTGTAATTGTAATAACCATGTTCTTTTCTTTTCCTGAAATTAGTGACACCGAATCAACATGAAGACAAAGAGGTCTCAAGTGGCCAACACTCTAAAGAGAGTCAAAAAAGTAGAGGAGAAAGACACACACACACACACACACACACACACACACACGTACAAAACCTGCAGGGATGATTAATAAGAAGACCAGCTTTTGCTATTTTCTGGGAGAAGATCTTTAATACTTTTAAAGAATTAAAAGAGAAATATAAAACCTTATCCTGTACACATTATGTGGAAAATTTTCCAGTGATCAAGGAAAGTGGAGAATGGAGCTATTTTTCCAGTTTACTCAATCAAGCTGAGTGCTGCTCTTTAAAACATCCAAGTAATGTCTCAAGTGCCCATTAAATTTCTCCAGAGAACAATGGGGGATTTCCCATGGAGTTGCACAATGTCAGAAGATTCTAACATCACTGCCACACATTATTAAACATACTCACACCATTCCAAAAATTCTATGCTCTGCTCATGCAATGCTAAATAATATTAGCCAGCCTCTTTATGTTATAAAATACAATCATTAACTGACAATTTAGTGACAAAAACCAAAGTCACTGATTGTGAGATACATAAATACAATCTCAATTCAATGTTCAGCCTGCACAGAATTTTAGGGCATTGTTCATCTTATGAACACACTTGAATGATAGTAGGAAACACCAAAGACACATAAAATCCACATTTTTTTGTAGTAAAGTCATTTACTTTTTTCATTTAAAGTAGGCATTTTTTCAGAAAAGAGAAGTAACAATCTTTGGACTATTATAAAGAAATGTAAAAATGGAAGAGGTATTTATGAATGATTTAAAATCATTCAAAAAATCTGATAGATTTTCTACAGCAAATAGAGTCTTCATCTTTATGAGATATTAATGTTCTTTCTCTATCTGAAATAATTTTTCTATATCCAGGTAAAAGAGGAAGAAAATTATATTGTGAATGACATTAGGAAATACACTTAGCTATGTTGTTCTTTTTCTAAATACCATTTCCAAATCAATTTGACATTGGCACTCATGGTAAATGAATGTTATACATCTAAAATAGACATCTCTTATTTCAATTTTCAATTCTTTAGGCACACTTATAAACAAGTACACATTCTGTTTAGGAGGCTTGGGAAGTTACCTTCACAAAGACAGGTTACCAGAGCACAACATGAAATCAAGCCCAAAGCACTTGTAAAACAGTTAAGATTCTTGACATACTTGAGCAGGACCCATCCGGCATGAGCATATATCCGTTGAGGCAGTAGCACTTGTAGCTGCCATAAGTGTTCATGCACCTGTGCTTACAGGGCCGCGGCTTCAGGCCACATTCATTTAGATCTGAAAAGAATGGTGTTGAAGTGGAAAAATCAAAAAACCTCAGTACTATTGTAAAACATTCAAAATACTTCTGTATATGGAAGAATAAATAAGAAAAGTGGGCTAAGCTGTAGTAACCAATTAGTTACGTAAGAAATTCTTCTTACTTTTATGCAATCTTAATTTGAATATTGGCTATACTAGGTGTGACCAAGATTTTCTATCCTTTGAGAGCTAAAGCTTTATGACAATGTGAAGGTCTTGTGAATTTAAGAAGTTTTAAATTTTGTGGTACATGAGATCTCCAACCAGACACGATGGCCAGGAGGATCCTCCCCACTGATGAGTACCTACCGTGTCATCCCTGGAAAGAGCAGCTTACTAACCTCATCATGGTTGTTGCTAGGTGCCACTGAATCAATTGTCAAGTCATAGTCACCCCATGTGACAGAACAGAACTGTTTGCATAGGGCTTTCTAGGCATAGTGGTGCCATGGTCAAGTACTCATCTGCTAACCGAAAGGTTGGCAGTTCAAACTTACCAGCCCTCCATGGGAAAAAGATGTGGTAGTTTGCTTCTGTAGTGATCACAGCCTTGGAAACCCTATGAGGCAGCTGTACTCTGTCCTACAGGGTCATTATGAGTCAGAATCAACTCGGTGATAGCAGGTAATCTATACAGGAGCAGATCTCCAGGTCTTTCTCTGTGGAGCCACTGGGTGGGTTCCAATCACCAATCATTCAAGTACCAGCTAAGCACTTAACTATTGTGCCACCAAGTCCAAGCCCATTACTGTCAAGTCAATTCTTATTCATAGCAACCCTATAGGACAAACTAGAACTATCCCATAATGCTACCAAGGCTTTAAATCTTTATGGAAGTACACTGTCATATCTCATTTCTGTGAAGTTGCCAGTGGGTATGAACCACCGACTTTACCATCGACTTTTTGGTTACCAGCAAACTCTTAACCACTGCACCACCAGGGTTGCCTATTGCACCACCAAATCAGCCATCTGACTGACAATATCCTGGAAATATCTACTACTGACAATATGATCTTACTGTAAATTTCTTCCTTTCTCTGTTTAAAGATGGTATCACATGAGCCTATTTTACTTTACAGGAAGTATACAGATTCTAAAACATTAGAATGCTTTTACTTTCCCAAAGGAAAGCTTTATTTTTAAGGAATAAGAGTTACATGAACTAGAGTAACAATTATTATGGTCTTCTTGTTCAGTCCTGTAGACTCTATACTGATCTTATAAATTTTAGTTTCCTATTTTAGTAATTCATTCAAATTACAAATGAACTTTAACAAAATAAAGCCCTCCTACATATTTGCATTCATTGGACAGCTAAGGAGGACGTGTTTTTGTTGTTGTTGTTATGTGCCGTTGAGTCGGACCCGACTCATAGAGACCCCTCCTTGGGTTTCCGAGGCAGTATCACTACGGAAGTAGATTGCCCAACCTTCCTTCCAAAAGGAGGACATAGAGAAATGCTAATGGACAATATATGATAGTCAATTATTATGTATTTTAGGTTTACTGGTTTAAGTATCAATGGTAAATGAACTAGTGGAATTCCCATTACGAAAATTTCTCAACCCATGTGGAACACTGAAATGAACATAAAACTCATTAATGATACACAAATATTGAAATAGTAATGCCCAAAACACAGACTTCATTCATTAAAAGGAAATGTGGCCATGTTTATTTTGTCTGGAACCACCTGATTACCATAATTTAATTGTGTATTCATCTGTATCATTGAATCAGAAATATAGATTATAAAATATCTGGTTACAAAGTTGTTCTCAAATCTAATCAAATTTAAAATTGACCTGCTTATTAGAAATCTATATATTTCATTGTGGTGCACTGCCTAAGGTATTTGACTGCTAATGAGTAAGTTGGTGGTTCAAACCCACCACATGCTCCACAGAAGGAAGGTGGGGCAATCTACTTCTGTAAAGAATTACTGCCTTGGAAACCCAATGGGAGTCGCTATGAGTTGGATTTGACCCGATGGATGTGGCTTACCAGGTTATATTATGTTTTAAAATTATATATATATATATATAAATTGCATTAACTTTTTTTCATATACTACTGACTTTCCAACTAGATTTGTTTCTGCCTTTATCATAATTGTAAACAGATTCCTAGGTCAGTGCAGCCTAGGACAGTTAAATGGATAAAACCAGATACCTTTGTTATGTATTCACACCAAAATCACATTTAAAAAACATTCCAGAAGAAGAAAGACTGAGAAATTGTATCACTTTCCCATATTCTTCTACTTTGCATTTCAATATTTATTAAATACTAGTTACAGTAAATCTTTTCTCATTTTTTTAGGAGGACTTAATAATCATTTCTAATACATAACACCTGGTTTGGTAATCTCTGAACTATAATAGCAAATAGTATTGAACTCTGAGCACACTGTTAGAGAAAGGTTTTGTGTCTTATTTAAACAAAGCAATACAACAAAACAATTGAGTAAGACTGAGTTCTATCTCAAGGGAAAGATAGTGATGGATAAAAAATATGTGTCCATTAAGAACCCAAATGACTATTTTTAAAGAGCCATGGAAACTTTTGGGTTCTCTAATGATACTGGTCAGAGGCTTACAGCTCCAGCCAGCTGATAAAACCAGATATTTACACTGATGTAAATCTCATTAGACACAGTATCTACTGACTAAAGCTGAAGCCCAATTGAGGCAGCTCTTTCACAACCTGGCTCCAATCTTGGCCAATAAATGGCCCTTATGATTGCTGTGGGAGCTCTTTATGATCCATCCATACTAGGGCTGCTAGTGGTTTTAGAGATTTGCTTCAACACAATTTTTTCTTTCCCTTCTTTTTTTTTTTAAGATAAGCTGTCATTATTCCAAAAAAAAAAAATCTGGGAATCATGCTGAAAAAGTATAGAAAGGGAAGTAAATGTAACATTCAGTGGGTAAACATAAACATTTTGTTGATGTTTTTCTCCTTATTATTAAACTGGCACCTACATATTCAACACTGAAAGCAATTGAGGGGAGTGTACTCCAACAACTGTTGATGGGCTAGAGGATACTCCCAAGAGCTGCCCAGTTCTGGTCTCTCCCATGGCTGCTGTCATTTTCCCATCTGCCCCAGGTATGTCTCCTACAAACTTCACAATGACCTTGACAAAGACTACGGCAGAAATTATGAAAGATCCAGTCATCCCTAATTATTAATATTTACCAAATAATCTGACTTTTGCTACAGAAGGAAACTTTATAAGATGACAAGTATCTGATGTCCTTGTACGCCTCTTTTTTTCTCCCTAATATTCTTCAAAGCTTTTATTCTATGATTATTGTACTTTATTTTCTTATTGACCCAATGCCTTATCAAACTGAGTATGTGCTGCTTCCAATAACTGCAGTATTCCTTACCACAGTCTGTTGGACTAAGATCTAGCAACATTTGTGTTATCAAATTAAGTCAGAAATTTAAAAAATGACTTTTCTAAATTATAGTTAAATGTTCCATTATTAATAAACAGAACAATATTAACATGAAAACTCTCCTAATGACACTATCTAAAATCAATTATAAAAGTTGATGAGAAAACTTTAGTACTGTTTTATTATTTTTTTTCTTTTTTTAAGTTTGCTTTATCATTATTCTTTCTTTGGAAGCTTATAATATAAATTATAAGGAAACTATAATGAAATGATATTTAATGAAATCCATCATGTACCTATCTTGATCATTTCCCAAAACAGGACTTTACAATTGAACCATTTACACTCAAATGCTATGTAACACAATGCTTAAAGAGCAAGTATTACCATGAGTAGTACATTTAAGCAGGTTGGTGGATTTGGGAGCTTAGCAGGGGTAGGGAAGGGGTGGTGGAGAGAAGAGAGCTAGTCTAGAACAGATATGCAAGCTGCATAGCATTATCATTACATTTCAGGAGAAAAGGAATCAGGAATTTTATTAACAAGCAGAACAATGAAAATTAGTTTGAAAAACCTTGAAGAGATTAATTGAATCAACTAACCTAATGGATTTGTAAGGAAAATAATCTTTCATTTATTATAATATATTTGGACTTTTTTTTTCCCATTGAGGCCTAAACTAGGCAATGATTCAGAAATCTAAGGTTTTACATTGTATTTGTCTAAAGTGGAAGGCACAAACAGATGTCAATGTCAACTGTCATTATTTCTCTTATTTAAATTATCAAGGACTCGGAAATGAATCTCATTTCCCTAATCTCTCATATAGAAGATATATAAATGTGTCATGCTCCCTATCAGTAGAGAGGCAGCAATTACTAATTTTAACTATTTCAGTCATTCTAAGTTACTAAATCTATACGTGAGTGAGAGATACATTCCCCCTTAGGAGAATTATAGAATAATGCTATCATTTTATTTTCTATAAAACTTTCCAGCATAATGCAGAAATTATTTTTGGGATTCTGACTGGAATCAGAAATTAGGCTTTCCAATATCACAAAATGTACACCAAATCAAAGAAGCATATTTAAGTTTGTTTTCTTGATTATTTAAATTCTACACCCCAAATCAAGGAGCTCTGGTAGCATAGTGGCTAAGACACTTGACTGATAACCAGAAGGCTGGCTGTTGAAACCCACCAGCCTCTCCCTGGAAGGAAGATGGGGCAATCTACTTCCGTAGTGATACTGCCTCAGAAACCCAAGGAGGGGTCACTGTGAGTTGGATCTGACTCGACGGCACACAACAACAACAATACCCCCCCAAATTGATGGTGGTCAGGAAGAAGACTTGAACACTCCTAAAATGTTTGGTGAGAGGCATCAAAATCTCCAATTCTCAGTTCTTTTGGAATTCCTGACTTCTGTTACACATGACTTAATTTTAGAATACACCAGAAATCCAGAAAAGAAGAAGAAGAGCAATGATGTTTTATGCACTGAAAGAACAGTGGAGGCTCCAGGCTTTAAAGAGCACAATCAGCACCAGGTAGCAATCCCTGCTGCTTGCTTCACATGCTCAGGATGTTGAAGACTGTGTACTCCTGGGCTAGTCTTCACACACTTGCAAGAAGGGACATTATTGCAGGAAGCTGTGTAGGTGGAAGAAGCAGACCACCCGTGACAATGCACGCTCACCCCTCGAAGGTAAACTTGTAGCTGGATGATCCAAGGGTTGGGAAAGAGGCTGTTCACTGCCTTGGTCAAGAGGAGTTGGGTAGAAGTGTTCATCTTCACACCAGGAAGAAGGTAATAAGAGTCAACTTTGAACTGATGTCATTTTTAGCCCTAAAAATCTTTATAAGTATATATTAAACAATTACATAAAGTTGTTGGAATTTATAAAGAATGTTTTTAGATGATTTACCAAAAAATGCAGTTCTTTTCTTTTTTTAAAATTTTAATTTCAATTTCCCTGAAATCTTTCACTGCCATCTTTCTACCCAAGAAAACACACTCACTACAAGTTAACAATTGATTATTTACATATTGATATTAAAAAGACATCACAAAAAGACATGATGATTTTAAAAAGCATGATTTTAGTCATCAATAGAAGGGAGAAGACTCAATTTAAAAAGAGATTATAGAAATATTGATTACAATCAATCTGTTCTGTTTAGGGACATTCAGGCCTTAATGGACTAACTTATTTTTCCTATATTATTATATTGCACAGTAACACAATTATACAATAGTTTATAATACTCCAAAATTATGGACAAATTTATGATTTGCCAAAACACCTTATTTAAAGAAATAGCAAGACATAAAGACCTTATTTAAAGAAATAGCATGATAGATTATCAAGAATTTCAGTTAAAAGTAAGAACTTACACTACATTTAGGTACCATTTACTAGAATATACTTAAGGAGTTTTATGCTAAAAATGTTAACTGTTACAATTATTAGCTAACCAAAATACTTTAAGATGGGAGAGAAATCAAAGTAGAGTCAGTAAGGCAATCACATCCTGTTTTGAGGCTATTATGTTATTAGTAGGCAGTTAAACTTCCAATCAAATGAACATTCGTTTCTGGGGTCAAAACTACACATCTTTTCAAAAATCAGGCTGTGGGCAACAACCTTAATATTCACATTAAAGACTTAGACTGTTGTGCTTCGGAAAACCATCAAATCTCAGATTTAATTAGTCCACAAAAGTTTACTAGTTCTGTGCAACAAGACATCAATTCTTTTCTTAGGATGAGAAATTCAACATATGACACATAAATCATGTGAAAATATCAGTAATTGAAATTTGTAAATTATTCTTCTGAAATTATTACAAAACACACTGTGATTCAAAGGAATACTACTTTCATTCTCGAAAACATGCAACAATAATGATATTTTACATGCTAAAGATCACTCCCCAGTAGAAAAGTTATAAAAAAAAAATTACTTATAATAGTTCCTTTTTTTGATGTGGGGGAAAGGAGAACTGTATAGCTATAGGGACCCAAGGAGAGGGGAAATATCCATGAATAAAAGTACTGGGGATACCAAGTGGGAGGGAAGCAAATAGTCAAGGAGAATCTAGCCAGAGTTAGTATTGGAAGTTTGAGTACTGTGCAAAGTACCATGTACCTCATACAGCATGGTAATGATCAGTCACAACCTGTGGTTTTATATCTGATTTAAACAAATGAAACCAAAAACCCTCAAATTCATTAGTTTTGTTTAGGTTCTGACTCATAGTGACCCTCTAGGACAGAGCAGAATTGCCCATATAGGATTTCCAAGGCTATAAATCATTACAGAAGCACACTGTGACATCTTTCTCCCGTGAAGAGGCTGGTGGGTTTGAACTGCTGACCTTCTGGTTAGCAGCTGAGTGCTTAACCACTACTCCACCAGAGTTCCATCTCTCATCTACATGTAGAAAATCCAGAAAATCCCTCAGAGGGAAGAGCAAGTCATCAACATCAGATTCACGCGAGGCTTGTGACAAGGCTGATAAATCAAGTCAGTTACAAAGTGCAGCCTTCCTTGATATTCTGGCTACTCCCCAGGCAGCACCAAAGCCCTGCATAAGTGCCTGTCATTTACTCAACTGTTGACTCCACCAAGCATGTTTCCAGCGGGTTATTTCTTAAAGTACCTAATTTACAACAAAATTTTCAGCAAATATTGGCTTATTCCAGAGACCTACTTTTAATCAAAATCTAATTTCTATTTCTGTGAAATTATTTCAAATTTACTTCTTACTGACATTTCTCTCTCAGAGAAACAAGGAAACAGTTTGTTTTCCCATTATGTCTAGGGCATATTTTCCACTTTATTAAAATGTGTGGGTCAGGATTTAAAAAAAAAAAAAAAAAAGTAAAAGTTAATTTATTTAGCAAATACAGACATTTTGCCCTAATTATTTTTATGAGGGCACTGAGCAGGTCTCACAGGCGTCCCTGGGTGGCACAAACAGTGAAGTGCTTGGCTATGAGCTGTAAGGTTGGCATTTGAATCCACCCAGAGGTGACTTGGGAGAAAGTCCTGGCAATCTATTTCTGAAAGATCACAGGCATTGAAACTCCTATTGAACACAGTTCTGCTCTGAAACACATGGGGTCACCATGAGTCAGAGTGGACTGGATGACCACTGGTTAGTTAAATAGCTCTCACACTTACCCATGTAGCTCACAGCAGCCTGTCTCAGTCTGGCAGAGTATTCAGTCCGTGAGTTAAGAGACTATCTAAGGTGTCAGACCAGCCAACTCCATGGAACTCTTTCGAGTTCCTATGGCCGTCAGGACCAAGAACCATTACATGAAATAGCTGTCTGTTTAACTAATACTTAATATGTACTTATTATGTGCATATCATTTTAATAATAGTTTTCTCAGGAACCCAGAAATCAGAGATACCACAAAGGGCTCCTGTTCTTAAAGAGCATAAACCTTTCCATCAGGAGCCTGCCACACTGCTTTTTTTTGTACAAGTGTCAAAGATATTATTAAAACAGGTATGTTTATCCTAAACTTGAGTTTTATTTTCAAGATCATACCTGATATTACATATTGAGTGTGAGTATTAGTTTTGCAAGTGTAAAAACATATTTTGTTACTAATGAAATCCTCTTTCTTTTAAGGAGTATGGTTTTGGAAAGCAATATTTTAACATGGTATATTTCAATTTTTCTTTAAACAAATAGGTATATGTTACAGGTAAAAGATCTTGGGACACTGGTTTTCTGAAAATAAGAGAAAGCAGTGATGGAGCCTCATTCCAGTAACAGTTTTAGTGGCTTTGAAACAAAATAAAGTTGACATATTTCCTGCAAGTAATTTTAAATGAATTTCCCTAGAATCAAAAATAGCTTCTTTGAGACTTCTTTATCTACTTCTCTGGCACTGGGACCACAAAGTTTTGTGAAGCTGATACATTAATGAACCCTCTGATGGTTTATGTTTACCACTTTACAAAAACAAGTATATTGCTCTAATGTGAGCACTGACAACTCAATAGTTAGAACCCAACATACTGCTACATATGAACTTAGGCTAGGGAAAGAAAATCAAATGGATTTTTTAAAGAGTAAATTGAGGTCATAAGAACACCATTTCATAAAGACTGTCCAAGTATATTTGCTAGAAGAAAAACTTATGTTAAAAAAATTGAGAAAAGAAGCATTGGAAATACTAGTTATAAACCAAATAGCAGATAATACAAGAATACATTTTAGAATAATAGCTAATCTTACCACTCAACATGACACATTTTACTAAAATGGATTTCATCTGATAGTTCAGGAAAAATTATATATACTTTCAAACTCAGTGCTCTGGATGACTGTGAAAACTATGTTTATAAATCACTAGTTTACATGACACATCTCAAGTAGTATCCTGAAATACATACCAGCTGTTGGCAAGTAGGAGTGTTTCAACAATATCATTTCTGTATCATCTGAGATCACAAATCTTTGGGATATTTAGAATCCACATCATGGTTTCATTTGGCACTCAAAATGATAGGGGGAATTACTTTAATTTAAAAAATAAGCAAAACTTAAACTTGACTCTTTTTCCTTTTATCTTGCTAGTTAGAACTAACCTTAGCCTTCCCTTATTTGTGGCTTCTTAATTCCTAATGGTAGAAATTTGGAGGCTGGAAATAGTTAAAAAGACAAGCCTTGTAGAACTTATTAGCATAAGCCAGAGGATTATATTTCCAATTATATTTTCTTCATCCACAATGAATATGGGAAAAAAACATGAATTATATAAATAATTAGCTCTATGTTGACATATTACTTTTTTACCAATTAACTCTGTGACCTTGGGAGGGGCAATTTATATCTCTGAGCTTCAGTATCTTCAAATAAAATTGAAGTAATGATTAATACGTTATATGTAACTTGATTGAGCTTTGGTGGCATAGTGCCTGAGGTATTTGACTGCTAACCAGAAGGCTGGCGGTTCAAACCCATCAGCCACTCTTCAGAAGGAAGACTGGGCAATCTACTTCCATAGGGATACCACCTCAGAAACCCAGGAAGGGGTCTCTCTGAGTGGGAATCGACTCGACAGCAGTGAGTTTGGTTTGGTTTGTATGTAACTTGATTATTATAAAAAACATTCTACCTGCTAATGTTGAAAACAGATAATATGTAAAACACCTGGAACATGATGAGTATTCAATGCATGTTTGCTTTTGTAAGAAACTGATGCCAATAATTTGCTAAATAATATTTTATTTCTCAAAAACATATTTCAAGCTGGTCACCTACTGAAGGGAGATTTAAAAATAGAATCAAAGCTCTCACCGTTTGAAGGAATCTCGAAATTTCAAGTCAAACTTCCTGCCTGCCTTCCAGTATTTACTGGCAAGTAACTAGTAACTGAGGTTCAAAGAGCATAACAATTTTCCCAAGGCTACCCAATAGTCCATAGAAGAACAAGCTGTGTTCTTCATTCTCTTTAAAATACATTTTAATTAGTTTCACAAAATAAGAATAATGTGACATTTTTTATTATCCTCTGATAAAAACAATTTAAGAATATTTACAATTATCATATTTTTACCTATTAACAAAATGGCAGCTCTCATATTTGAGGAAAAGTAGCTACAGAGAGTGGTTTGGGATGAGAACTTAACTTTCTTAGACTTGGCAGGAATAGAGTGGCTTACGATTGTGTATTGTATCGGATTGTTTTCCTACCTTGATTGCAGGTTTTTCCAGCATATCCAGGACGACACTTGCACTTGTTTGGTCCCACACATTCACCATGTTTGCACTGTGGTTGACACACAGCTATGAAGAGAAGACACCCCGCATTATCTCTCTGTCATCAACACATCAACCATCTAGTATCTCTACCATGTACTAGATTGATAATAAAAGAAAAAGAAGAGATAATTTACAATAAAGTAGTAAAGATTTATCAAATTACCATTCCTGCAATGGTGAGCACTGCCTAAACTACACACACTCACAGACATACATGTGTGTATGTATGTATGAATATGGGTATGCATACATATATATACACATGTATGTGTGTGTCTCACTTGGGCCTGGAAAATTTGCTACAATTGAGGACAATATTCAAATAGTACAAATAAAAATACATACATGAATGTATATATGCATATATATCACTAGGCATGACTATAATTGATGTTAGTCAACATTTATTTATAACTTTACAATTACCTGTACCCATAATTTCAGACTCATTCTCCTAAACACACTTCAAAAAAGTAGTTTTTATTCAAATGATAATGGATATGCATGAGATCCAGATAAATTTCAAGTTAAATTCTAAAAGATATTTTATTGGAAATGGTATTACTAAGTATGAAGCAATACAAAATGAAATAAAAACTAAACCTCAAGATATTTTAGAATTTCAGTTTAAGAATATTTCTTCTATCATATTGATCATCCTTAACTCCAAGGTGCATCACAATTACTCATCAGTCTATAATGGCTTTTCTACAGTTTATCACAGCAAATACAAAGTACAAAGTTCTCAGTTTGACATTACTCTCTTCCATCAACTAAGTTCTTACTTCCCTCAAAACTTCTTTAAGAGCATCACTTTAAAGCATCTCTCAGTCTTTTCATAAGCCTTTCCAGCTTGCTGAAATATCGGTTGGAATTAATCCTGTTTACTCTATACCGGTGGTATAAAACACATCAAATAATTAAAACAGGTATGTTTATTCTGTTTTAATAATCAGCTGCGTGTGCTTTTGCTTTCTAGGGAACATTTGACAATATTCGGAGATATTTTTCGTTGTTGCAACTTGGGAAGGGGTGCTACTGGCATCTAGTAGATAGAGGCCAGGGATGTGGTGAAATGTACTAATATACTCACACAATCACACTCACAATAGCAAATTATTTAGCCCAAAATATCATGATGCCAAGATTGATATATCTTTATCTATTGCAAATACGTGCATAGTGCTATGCCATATATTATAAGGGATGGAAAAGAGTTATATAACATGGTCACTGGACTCAAGGAGCTTACGATCTAGATGAAAAGACAAAACCATGTTTTTAATTTAAGCCAATATTTATTTATGAGTAAAGCAGATGGCAACCTGATATGTGTGAAAAAACTGTCAAATGAGAAAATCCATATGGATTTTCACAGAAAGCCTTGTAGAAGAGGACTGAGTTGGACCTTAAAGTACTAGTGTTCAAAGAAGGGAGAAGGACATTCTAGGTAAGGAGAATCGGACAGCAAGATAGACCATCATTTATGCAGGGGACACCACAGAGGCTTATCAAGCTGAAGAGATGGGTAATTGCTGGGGGAAGAGTAAGAGGCAGACAATCATAAGTGAGTGGTATCAGATGATGATGCTCTCTAAATTTCAGACTGAGGAACATACTCTTAACTCTAGGAAAGGGAAAGTTCTGGAAGTTTATCATCATCCAGAGAATTACCTGATAATCAAAACTCTAGGAATATTAGGATGGTGATGATACGTAGGATGAAGTGCAGAGTCTAGAGGCAGAGAGAGCAGTTAGAAGATCAGTGGAATCATTCAGGTCTGGTACAAGGAAGGCACGATTTGTGTTAATGACAGGAAGACATAGGCTTTGGTAACCGTGACTGAACAGGCCCTGAAGACCAAGAGGAAGTCAACAATGACACTAAATTTTGAAGTACTTGACACTTGTTCATTCCCATATTAGCTCATGCTCTTCTCCAATCTAGGGTATGATCCCAATTTTTTGTCTGATAATTCTGTGTATCCTTCACGCCTGTGAAATTGATGTGCATGCTACTTTTGTTGCTTTCTGTTTCCTCACTGATCTCTCATTAACCCTTTCCTCATTGGATGTTCCATGGGTCTTATTTGCCAATTTTACTTTCTAGTCTTCTTGCTTGTTTGCTTGTCACTGTAACTGGATCTGACCTCCTGCTAATCCTCAGTGCTGCTCGGTAGGTTTTAATTAAAAAGCTTGCAGAAAGAAAGGGTGAGCAGAGTGTAAATAGTAGAGAAATGTAACTGGAAAACTCTTAAAATCTGATTTTAGACATGTCACCAAATTCAAAGACAGGCAATTTTATTGAAATTTTCAAAAATAAATTAACTATCCAGGAGTGCCTTACAATATTACTCTTCAATCCATCATGAATCTGATGGACGGTTTATATATAATTTTAAACACAGGACCTAGAAACAATTCTTTATTTGACACCAGAGCCTATAACCAAGAATATCTTTTTCAAGTATTAATGTTTTTAAAAAAAGATGTTTCATAATGTTAATTTTAAATCAGAATACACCCTGAATGAACCAAACAGCTGAGGCACCCAGAGTATTATATTTAAAAAGAAAGTGACCATCTCAAGATAATTCAATAGGACTCAAATCCTTTGAACCCTCAAGAATTTTTAGAATTAGAAAATATTTTTTAAAAATACTAAAAAGTAATTTAGAAATCATTACTTGAAAACATGAAAAAGCGTATTTAAAAGAGGCGCTTTATGAAACAAACTTGAGAGGCCATGCTGTACTGCCATTTGAACCTCCTGATCAAATTAATGACTACTCATTTATAGTGTGATTAAGGGCTTTATGGAATAAACGTTTTTATTGTCCCCCTTCCTTTTTTTATCGTTTGTTCCCAGTGGCGTGCCTAATCTTGGGCACATCAAATGTACACATAATCAAGAGGTCAAGACTGTTAATGTTTCTTATATATTTATGGAGTCACTATTTTAAAACAAACTGCTGTTTGTATTCCAACAATCAACTCAAGTAACCAACCACACTTAGAATAGCTAAGCGCTATTAAATGTGATAGGATACTCACAGAGTTGATATAACTATTTTTTTCTTCTTCTTACAAAAAGAAAACCCTTTGGAAAATGCTGCATGCAGCACCTGCTCCTATAATTCTGTTGCCACTATGTCTGGAATTGGATTCAGTAAATATGTATTGAACATTTGGTATATACAAAGTACTATACTATTTCTGGTGGTACAGTGCCTAAGGCATTTGACTGCTAACCAGAGGTTTGGCTGTTCAAACCCACCAGCCACTCCTCGGAAGGAAAATTGAGGAATCTACTTCCATAGAGACACTGCCTCAGAAACCCAAGGAGGGGTCACTATGAGTCAGAAATGACTCCACGGCAGTGAGTATACTAGGTAAATTCGGTAGGATGACATAGTCACAGATGATATGAAGAATTAATCATGGAACTGTAATATACTGGCAAAACCATATCAAGGACTACAATAGAAAGAGAGAGGATATGTAATAACCAACTGCAGGCCCTAAAAAGGCCTCGTGTAGGAACTGCTATAAGAGAAACACCTCAGAGACAGTGAAGATGGGAGATGAAAGTTTTTCAGAAATGAGCAAAGATGGGCAGGGGGGAGGAAAGGATCAATGCCAAGTGTACTAGTGGGGGTTCTGTGTAAAGTGTTTATAACAATTGAGATTGAAAGAAAGGCCAGGACCAGATCATAAAAGGGCTTGATAGCAGAAACTGCTGGATATTTACCAATATTTATGTTTCCCTTCTTCTTTATAATGGAACAGCATTTTTTTTTTTTTTTGTAAGTGGAAGATGAGTTAGCAATGGAAAACTACTTTTCCTATCCTCTCTGGCAGATATGGATGGTCTTGTGACTAAATTTTGGCTAATGATATGTAAGCAGAATATACTGGGTTTAACAGTTTCCCCAAAAAATTCATGGCCACCCAGAACCTATGTGACCTTATTTGGAAATGATCTCTTTGCAGATGTAATTAAGTTAAGATGAGGTATTAATGAATTAGGGTGAGTCCTAAATCCAATATTACTGGCATCCTCATAAAAAAAGGGACATTTGAATGAAGAGACACAGACACAGAGGAGAGAAGGTCACATGAAGATGTAAGCAGAGACTGAAAAGATGCAGCTACAACCAAGGAATGTGAAGGATTGCCAGCATCCACCACAAGCTAGAAGAGGTCTGGATTTTTCTCTTGAGCCTTCGAAGGAGGTTGGCTCTGCTGATACTAGTGTCTAAGGCATTTGACAGCTAACCAGAAGGCTGGAAGTTCAAACCCACCAGCCACTCCTCAGAAGGAAGGTTGGGTAATCTACTTCCATGGTGATACTGCCTCGGAAACCCAAGGACGGGTGGCTATGAGTCGGATCCCACTCGACGGCAGTGAGTTTGTGTTTTTTTTTTTTTTTTGTAGTATCCAAAACAATGAAAGAATAAATTTCTGGAGTTTTAAGCTATCCAGTTTGTGGTGCATGGTTATAGCAGCCTTTAGAAACTAATATATAGACATAATTGAGTGGGGCTTTCTAATTGCTACCTAAAGGGGACTGACTAGTCTGCCTTTATAGGTCTGCTTGTCTGGAATGTACAAGTAATGGCTGAAGCCACAGTAGCCACTTTATGACAGGAGGTAATTTAAGAACTAAAGGTAGGTGGAGCAAAAAGTAACCATATTAATATTAAACCTCCATGGTAACAATTTAGCACTTAGTGTCACTACTACTTGCAGCCAAATGCAATTACTAACTGACTGCCCTTGCAGTGGAATCTGGATGTTGGTCTGTATCAAATATTAAACTGATACTGCTGAAAGGTTTTCTTAGATAGAAGTGTTATGTGTAGATCCTAATACAGAAATACAACCTGTCAAGTTTATTTTAGACATACCATATCATATAGTCATGTGAGCATATAAAGAACTTCATTTCTACATCTAAGGAATTTATTGGAATCACTAAATGCTTTAAATGCAGCCCTGGGTATGGTAAAGATTAAATCATA